TACATGGGGTGAGTGGGGATTCCAGCTCAAACATACATGGAGTGAGCGGGGTTTCCACTTCACACATACATGGGGTGAGTGGGGATTCCAGCTCAGACATACATGAGGTGAGCGGGGTTTCCATTTCACACATACATGAGGTGAGCGGGGTTTCCATTTCACACATACATGAGGTGAGCGGGGTTTCCATTTCAGACATACATGGGGTGAGCGTGTTTCCAGCTCAGATATACATGAGGTGAGCGGGGTTTCCAGTTCAGATATACATGAAGTGAGCGGGGTTTCCATTTCAGACATACATGGGGTGAGCGTGTTTCCAGCTCAGATATACATGAGTTGAGCGGGGTTTCCAGCTCAGACATACATGAGGTAAGGGGGGTTCCAGCTCAGACAAAAATTAGGTGAGCGGGAATTCCTGTTCAGACATACATCAGATGAACGGGGTTTCCACTTCAGACATACATGAGGTGAGCGGGGTTTCCATTTCAGACATACATGGGGTGAGCGGGATTTCCATTTCAGACATACATGGGGTGAGCGTGAATTCCTGTTCAGACATACATCAGATGAGCGGGGTTTCCACTTCAGACATACATGAGGTGAGCGGGATTTCCAGTTCAGAGATACTGACATGCATTCATTGAGAGGGACTTAACTCGTATATATATACTCTCCCGAATAAGAAAAGCATATAGGAATTTCAACTGTATTTTTATGTTTATTTTGAAACATCTTGTAATGCAGACTGATCCGTCTTTGGCACCAACTCGAGGAAAGTCAATTTGAGTGTCACATGGAGACGTTTGGTGGCGCTGAAGTCAATACCTCGTGTGACCACCGTGGGCATCCAGGACTGCTTCGGCATCGAACGAATAAGTCTCAGAATCTCGTGTTGCCCAATCGCAGCCCACTTTGCCTGTAGTGCCTGTGCGAGTTGCTGAAGTGTCTGGGGCTGAGGGTTACGGCGTCGCACCCGTCTTTCCAGGGCATCCCACAGATGATCGGGTTTAAGTCCGGTGATCTTGAGGGCCAGGGGAGCACATTGATGTTGTGGATCTGGAGGAAGTCTCTGGTGTGACGTGCTGTGTGGGGCCTGGCATTGTCCTGTTGAAACAACTCCCTCTGGCGATCAATGATTGGAAGGAGGTGTGGGCGTAGGATTTCGTCACAGTACCGTTGAGCTGTCAGGTTGCCCTGGATAATCACCAAATCACTTCTCCTGCGGCAGGTGCTCCCTCCCCACATTATAACACCTCCCCGGCCGAATCTGTCCACCTGGGTAACGCAAGCGTCGGCGAAACGTTCACGTCGACATCTGTACACCCGCATTCTTCCATCGCGTCGTTCCAATAGAAATCGTGATTCATCACTGAACCAGATTCTACCCCAATTCGGTAGGTTCCAGGCCTGAACGTTGGTGCACCATTGAACTCGATGTCGACAATGTTGTTGTCGAAGCACAGGGCCAAAATGAGATCTTCTGGCACGTAAACCAGCCTCTCTCAACCTGTTCCTGACGGTCCGTGCAGAAAGCCTCCTCAATCCGTGTATTTGTCGAGCGGTATTGGTCGCCGTAGCTGTTCGATGATGCAGGTGATGTACCCGGATGTAGCGATCCTGCGCCTCAGTGGTCGCTCGAGGTCGCCCACACTACGAGGGGCATCTGCTACCGAATTCTGCCGGCGATATCTGTCCTAGAGCCGTGCAATGGTGTTTTGGTGAACATTCATGCGTCGGGCAACTGCACGTTGAGACTGGCCAGCTTCAAGCAAACCAATGGCGATATGACGGTTAGCTTCACTTAGACGTGTCATTTTGCGTTCGTCAACAATATTTCAAATACAGTGAATAAGCGACAGACAGCGATTAACCTTTTATACCTATCATTGAGACTATCTGATCATTGTGACTTTCACGTGCATTGCACGTGAATTGTGTATTCTGTGACACTACACACCAAAATTGAAAATCATGCTGTTAAATACGATTATATTTGTGATGTTTCAAAACATAAACACCATAGGACTCATCAACAGAGCAAAACCTTTTGTAACACGAATCAATTTTTAATTCATTGCTACATGAAATTGCTAGTTTCATGATGCGTTTCTTTTTGGGAGAGTATATATACATAAGGTTAATGTGTTGCACCAAATCATCATCGGGCGTTTCCTGTTCATGTCTGTCACCGCAAATATGGCCGCTGTGGTAAAACTGAAATTCAGGAGGAGGTATCACTATAATCATTCGTGACATCTGTCCGGTCTAGTTACCAAGAGTGTTCCAGCTGCCAATACGTGTCCCAGGTAACCTACACGTGTCCCAAGTAACCTACACATATCCCAATCAACCAATACGTGTCCCAGGTATCCTACGAGTATCCCAAGTAACCTATACGTGTCCCAATTAATCTACACGTGTCACAAGTAATCTATACGTGTCCCAAGTAACCTACACGTGTCACAAGTAACCAATACGTGTCCCAAGTAGTCTATACATGTCCCAAGTAGTCTATACGTATCCCAAGAAACCTACACGTGTCCCAAGTAACTTAGAAAGTGTCCCAATTAACCTACACGTGTCCCAAGTAACCTACATGTGTCCCAAGTAATATATAAACGTGTCCCAAGTAAACTATACGTGTTCCAAGTAACATATACGTCTCTCAGGTAACCTACACGTATCCCAAGTAACCTACACGTGTCCCAAGTAGTCTATACATGCCCCAGGTAACCTTTCAGTGTACAAAGTAACATACACGTGTCCCAAGTAACACATACGCGTCCCAAGTAACCTACAGGTGTAACAAGTAACATATACATGTCCCAGGTATATCATACGTGTCCCAAGTAACCTACACGGGTCCCAAGTAACCTATACGTGTCCCAAATAATCTACACGTGTCCAAAGTAACCTATACGTGTCCCAGGAAACCTACACGTGTCCCAAATAATCTACACGTGTCCAAAGTAACCTATACGTGCACCAAGTAACCTACACGTGTCACAAGTAACCTGTAGTGTCCCAAGTAGTCTATACATGTCCCAAGTAGTCTATACGTGTCACAAGTAACCTACACGTGTCCCAAGTAACTTAGAAAATGTCCCAAATAACCTACACGTGCCCCAAGTAACCTACATGTGTCCCAAGTAACATATAAACGTGTCCCAAGTAAACAAATGCGTCTCCCAGGTAACCTACACGTGTCCCAAGTAACCTACACGTGTCCCAAGTAGCCTATACATGTCTCAGGTAACCTTTCAGTCTACAAAGTACCTTTCAGTGTACAAAGTAACATACACGTGTCCCAAGTAACACATACGTGTCCCAAGTAACCTACAGGTGTAACAAGTAACATATACATGTCGCAGGTAAATAATACGTGTCCCAAGTAACTTACACGGGTCCCAAGTAACCTATACGTGTCCCAAGTAATCCATACGAGTCCCAAGTAACCTTCAAGTGTCCCAAATAACCTACACGTGTCCCAAGTAAACCTATACGTGTCCAAAGTAACCTACGCGTGTCCCAAGAAACCAATACGTGTCCCAGGTAACCTATACGTGTCCCAAGTAACCTACACGTGTCCCAAGTAGCTTATACATGTCCCAGGTTACCTATAAGTGTACACAGTAACATACGCGTGTCCCAAGTAACATGTACGTGTCCCAAGTAACCTACACGTGTCCCAAGTAACATATATGTGTCCAAAGTAATCCATACGTGTCCCAAGTAACCTATACGTGTACCTGGTAACATATACGTGTCCCAAGTCACCTACAGGGGTCCCAAGTAACTTATTTGTCCCAAGTAGCTTACACTTGTCCCAGGAAAACTATACTTGTCCCAAGTAACCCACGCGTGTCCCAAATAACCTATACGTGTCCCAAGTAATCTACACGTGTCCCAGGTAACCTAGACGGGTCCCAAGTAGGATATATACATGTCCCAGGTAACATTTCAGTGTACAAAGTAACATACACGTGTCCCAAGTAACATATACATGTCCCAGGTAAATCATACCTGTCCCAAGTAATCCATACGTGTTCCCAGTAATCTACGCGTCGATAATAACTACATGTGTACTCTGTAACATATCTGTAAAACTAGCAGGTATAAATCCTATTGTTATTATTTATTGTCTCCCAACACTCTTGAAAATTTTAGTTTTCATCCATTCAACATTAGTCTGAATCGTCACCTATAAATATCGGAGAAAGGTTAGAAATTTCGTGAAGTTGAAGTGATTTACACACACACACACACACACACACACACACACACACACACACACACACACACACACACACACACACACACACACACACACACACACACACACACACACACACACACACACACACACACACACACACACACACACACACACACACACACACACCACGAATCTATCTAGTCTGTATTGCGTAATAAATACATTCGCCATACACATCGTTTATCACATACTGCGATCTGTCTTAACCCAAACACGGGTAACAGATACGTGAAATATAGCACATTAGCAAATAGTCCCACAATGTTGACTATACTCATGCCAATAATGGTTGTCACTCCCTTAAAAAAAAATTTATTGGAGAGCGGGTGGGGTGGGGTGTGTGGGGGGGTTGAGGGGTGTGACAACCATTATTGGCATGAGTATATAATGGATCTTACCACCGTAGAAGGCACAAAAAGTGTGAACAGCCAGAGTACCTGGCACGAATGAGTTTGGAAGAGTTATAAATGTATAAATGTCATTTAGAAAGTTGTCCAATGTAACATATGTTGTATGTGGAATTCATTTTTGTTGAGTCACATCTGGGATTCGAACCCATACACTCAGAATCAGGCAATAATCGCCAGCACACAAAGGAAACGCTTTGGAAGAGTTGTCTTTCCTTGATGTCACCTACACCAGCGAAAATATCATATTTCATTTCATTGTGACACTCGTTTACTCTGTTTTGCTACGTTTTCAATTAATTGGACTCATTTGTAAATATCTCACATAAATCAAATATATATATGTTATTTTAAAATGATGTTTTATATTTATATATTTATTATGCTTCAAGCGGACAAGTTGGTACAACAAATGCAGAAAATGCAAGTTCTTGCGTGGTTCATGTCGAATTACTGGTACAGTGTGTATTTATACCTCACTTGCAACCCTTTTTAAAACCTTCAATGTTGGCATACCTATGTCAAGATTAAAGGTTTGTCTCAATGTTTAACTTCGTTCAAGTTGTTTAAATGGTTGGGAGTGTGTTTTCACATCATTCAATTCATAGGTGACCATGCAGTGTACCAAGAAGTTTACCGTGGCGGTAAATAACTGAGGCTCTGCGATCTGTTGGCAGGGTTTTACCTCGACTCACAAACATGGGGGTCCGGAGACCCCGTAATTATTACTTTTAAGGACCCTTGCCTGCAAAAGGGTCGTTCCTGTTAAGTAACAGTGCCGATAGTATGTCGTACAGACCCTGAAACAAATATATCCAAGAAAGCCCACGCAAGTCTAGAAAATGAGGCAAGTCTAGATTTCCACAGCTTCAGGAAAAATGAAAATGAAGAAAGTTCCTGGGCTCCTTTTTATTGTATTTACAATCTTAATTTAAGAACTTTTATTTTCTGTTAAATATGTTCATTTCAGAGACTAGATGTTAGTCTACAGTGCAGAGAAGCATACCTTTTGATAATATCCTGAGACCATGGAATGAATCATTGATATTGGGGACCAGTGCATCACGAAAAACCATGTATTGGTTTATCTGTGTTAGGTTAGGGTGGGTTACCTCATTCTCTATCCTTAGGGCTTCTGACCAAAACACCTCTTACAATCATAAGGCCTAAGGTTATAAGGTATCACTTCACAATCAATTTGGTTGATCACATCTACCATTAGTACAGTGATGAATAAAGAGACTATGATTAGGTTTAGACATGCACAGCTAAAGTTTAGATGGTTTGCATCACATACCTCTTGTATCACATACCTCTTGTATCAGTGAGTGAGTGAGTTTAGTTTTACTCCGCTTTTAGCAATATTCCAGCAATATCACGGCAGGGGACACCACAAATGGGCTTCACACTATGTACCCATGTGGGGAATCAAACCTGGGTGTTTGGCATGATGAGCGAACGTCTTAACCACTGGGCTACCCCACCGCCCTGTTGTATCACATACCTCTTTTATCACATACCTCTTGTATCACATACCTCTTTTATCACATACCTCTTTCATCACATACCTCTTTCATCACATACCTCTTGTGTCACATACCTCTTGTATCACATACCTCTTTTATCACATACCTTTTGTACAACTAGGAATCCTGTTGTGCAGGGGAAGACTGTGATCAAGTGTCTACCTTGTGTCGTTCCAAATACACACAAAAAATATGCTAATAATGGAGAACCAAATTTAACACTCTTACAATATAGATGAGAAACTATATAGGGAACTTATTATACGTGTGATTATCTTAACATGAAAATATAGAAACTATGCTAAATTACCTGGAATGTTGGATAGTTATGTATAGGGGCAAGTATACATATTTTTTCTTATCCTGACTCATGCTTAATTGCTTGTCATTTTCTTCTTGCAAATGATAGTGGAACACTTGAATCCCCTTTTGAAGCTCCCTTCAAAAAGGCGGATGTAAAATCACTCACCCAGTGTTATCTCCCTTGTGACTCTTTTGGCGGGAAAATGCGCCACATGATCAGACATGCCCTTCACGTTCTCCTTCTTCGCCCTTGAGGACGGTTGTGAGAGCGCCTGGATTCCCTATACGGCGTTATATCCTTTAAATTTGAGGCCTTTGCTACTAAATTAGCTATATACGGTTTTAGGATTGATATACCAACAATATGGGTTGAAATTCTGTCCAAATTATCTGTTTTTTTGACGTTGTTGACATGTTTTTTCATCGTCTTTACATTTGATGAAAACTTGCAGTCGTTGCAGATACCAGTTGTTGTTTGCTGATCCACATTTAATATGTCCTAATTGTACTTCATGTTCTACCAGCTGTCGCTGTCAACTTTGTTAGCATCTGAATTTGAATTTAATAATTATTTATATTCCATTATTAGGCGTGCCAAGGACAGGTCTAGACTGCTTTCACAAGTCATGTCTGAACCAAATGATTGCGTTGATAACCGTTTGTTGTTGACTACTGACATTCACCATTCTAGTGGTTTTGCGGCTGCGGAGCATAAACCGTGACTGATGGCAGCTCCGGCTTCAAGAAGACGTCGTCTACATCAACTATAACCTCATCGCAGTCGAAGAAGACGAGGGCAAAACTACACGTTCTACCGCTGTTAAGCAGAGATCTTTCAACGATGAGATCGTACCGCCGCATGAGAAAGACGTGTTTGACGACCCCCCTATACTTCTACCTGAGGTATCGATGACATCTATGACGCAGTCGATGTCTACTACGACTAGATCATCACCTATGAATGTCACAGCAGGCCACCTGTTCGACATAAGACCTCCTACTTCGAGGAGTCCTGCTCCTGGAATGACAGATTTATGCAGCCGTTACTACGAGCTCAGTGGGAGGCGCCTACAATCTTCGGAGGTCTATTGGATGATGCAGCTAAACAAGCTACACAAGACTCCAGAGAGGTCATGATGATAAAGACCATAGACACCTTGGCCAGCATCATCCGCCATACTTCTCAGAGATACAACAACAAGTCTAAGTATGCTGGGATACAGAGAGCTAAAGACAGAAAGTACTCCAGCTCCATAGGCGGGAAGGGCTCTTTTCGTCGCCTTAAGGCAACTACAGAGGAAATTCAGGAAGAGGCCGCGGCCCCAGAACTTCCAAAAGTACCAGACGCTGAAGCCACGGTTCGGAACGAGTGGAGTCTTCCACCCCCAGCCATTCCTGTAGAACTATCGACAGTGGGTGGAAGTCTACAACGGTACTGGAATAATTGGGGGATCCCAGGAGACGACTACGCCTCGCAGGTTCTAAGAGAAGGGTACAATTACAACTGAAAGGTGCCCCTCCGTTAACCCTCAGCCCGATGGTCTTCAACTACGGAGAGGATCAGGCAGACAAATTACAAGAAGCCATCAACGCACTTCTCTCGAAAGATGCAGGAGAGATAATAGATCAGAATCATCTCACCCCAGGCATCTACTCCCCAATTTTTCTAGTACCAAAGAAGAACTCCACAGAGAAGTTCAGACTGATATACAACATGAGTGTATTCAACAGAGACTATCTACTGAAACCAGACAGGTTCAGCCTGATCCACCTACCTCAACTGAGACAACTCGTCCGTCCAGCAGATTATATGGCAAGCATAGACTTACAGGATGTGTACCTGCACATTCTGATACATCAAGAATCAAGAAAATATCTACGATTCCTGTTCAAAGGGCAACACTACCAATGGAGCGTGCTACCGTTTGGAATATCTTCGGCTCCGTGGCTATTCACCCGAATAACCAAGCCTATAGTCGCATACCTACATCTACAAGGTCTATGCAATGCCTTTTACCTGGACGACGGGATTCAGGTCCACCAAGATGCAAGTCTACTCAGACTACAGCTGGACTTCACGATCAAGTTGCTCACTCAACTGGGATGGTTGGTGAACCTAAGGAAGTCAGAATTGGAGCCAAAACAAGATCTACAATTCCTGGGGATAAGATTCATCACTACAGAGAATCGAATCGTCATCCAAGAGGATCGATGGGTCAAGATACAAGCCATGATTCCGCCAGCAGTCATCTCTCCGTTAACACTACGATCATGGCAAGTTCTACTCGGTCTACTAACCTCGGCGCAAGACTTGACGCACTTAGGAAGGTTACAGCTAAGACCGCTACAATGGTTCCTCATAAAGCATCTGAACAGTGTCGACCTTATCCTGCTGCCCGAAAGCCTCAAGAGGTATCTACTATGGTGGACACAAAGGTCGAATGTCTCGAAGGAGTCTATTTACAAGAGCCGGCCTTCAAGACAACCTCTATGCGGATGCCTCGTTGCAAGGATGGGGAGCACATCTCAATGATCAAGTAGCGTCGGGAAAGTGGTCTCATACAGAACAAAAGCTCCACATCAATCTACTAGAGATGAAAGCAGTGATCAACGCAGTACAACTGTGGGCGAGCTTGCTGAACAACAAGATGTTGATGATCCACACCGACAGCACCACAGTGGCTTTCTTTATAAACGGGCAAGGATCCACAAGATCACCAAGCCTATTGCAGCTCACATTCCAGTTGTTCCAGATCACGCAAAAAGCAGACATCTGGATAAAAGCGTGTCACATAGCCGGAGCCAAGAACGTCCTAGCAGACGCTCTCTCAAGACCACTACACCCGTCACCAACAGAATGGATGCTCCTTCCAGAAACGTTTCGGGAAGTAAGGGAAATAGCATTCCCCTCCATAGACCTGTTCGCCACGACGTTCAACAAACAACTGCAGACGTTCATCTCACCAGTTCCAGATCCTCAAGCCTGGGCAACAGATGCACTGAGCATGTCGTGGGAAGGACTAAACGGCTACGCTTTTCCACCCCCGATACTACTGACAAAAGTACTGGTCAAGATCAAACAGACACAGACGCTACAACTGACTTTGGTCGGGCCTTACTGGCCAACGAGACCATGGTTCCCAGATCTACTAGAAACCCTAGGAAGCCCACTAATCAAGCTTCCAGATTGGCCGAACCTACTGATACATCTGCACACCAAACGAGTCCACAAAAACCCAGCAGTGTTCCAGCTACACGTGTGGATCGTATCAAAATGTGTTTGAAGAAAAGAGGATACTCCGCCAGAGCTGCCAAGGCTGTGACACTAGCGTTACGCAGAACGACTCGCAACCTATACGATGATAAATGGCTGAAGTTTAAAACTTACGCAAGGCGGAAAGGCTTCACAGCCATAACAGCTACGCATCCTCAAGTGGCGGAATATCTGTGTCATCTAAGACAGACCAGACATCTAAAAGGTTCCACCCTTTCAACGTATGTCGCAGTACAATGATTACCATGAAAACAGGCATCAAGCTGACGAAAGTACCAGAATTACTTGCGCTGCTGAAATCATTCAAGTTGGAAGACCAACAAAAGAATTCAGAGCCCCAGCCTGGGACTTGAATGTAATTCTGCGTCATCTTACCAGTGATGTCTACGAACCACTAGACCAGATCATGATCGAGCTGCTGACACAGAAGTCTCTGTTCCTGCTTGCGTTAGCCACTGCAGCTCGCATATCGGAGATACATGCGCTGGACTACAGTCGAACGACGTTCGACAGAGGGCAGAATAATACAGGTCATCTAGGACTTAGAGGGGACTTTATTGCCAAGAATCAACTACCTGGTCAACCAGATAGACAATTCCATGTACCAGCGCTGTCTACAGTCCTCGGCCCACAAGATATAGAGGACTTATCCTTGTGCCCAGTCAGAGCCTTGAAGATATATCTTCAAAAGACTAACACGAGGAGAAGGAAATTCAAGTGCCTATTCATCCCATTATCAACAGAGACATCAACTGAAGTCTCAAGAACGACCATATCGTTCTGGATGAGAGCCGTCATATTGAGAGCCTACAAAGCAGCAGGACTAGAACCTCCTAGAGCTTCCAACCCACACGAAGTGAGAGCACTGGCATCAACACTAGCTCTACATGGAAATTGCTCGATACCGACAATAATGGAGGGCTGCTTCTGGAAGTCGGACACAGTGTTTGCCAACCACTACCTCCGAGACATGGGCACAGAAGACGTCTCCGGCATTCACCAATTTGGGCCTCTCGTTGTAGCACAGCAACTAACGGTTCCTCAAAGGCACTGAGTTGAAATCTCACCCTTTATCACGTTGACTTAAAAATGACTTTTTCTAGGAAGTATCAGTTTGAAAGTCCATGCGCACAGTCTAGGACAGACTAGCATGAGTGATTAAGATCCTGTGCGGGTAACGACCTAACCTGCACATGAAGGGATCGCAACTCATTTATGATAAAGACCTTATCATAATCCATGGGTTGTTATGAGATATCTAGTACAGAAGAACTAGTTTATCTATAACCACACAAATCAGCATGATTCATCCTGTCTGAGATGGAAGTAAGACAAGGAGTGGTCCCCCCGAGTTACTACTATGCAAGTTGGAAGAATAGGACCACGGAAATGCCGTTTGCAGTTCCCATGGGGGGGATACAGGACGTATCTAAGGACAGCTGTTGAATCCAGTGGCTTGACCCACCACCCGATTTCCGGACGGATTCTATAAGCAAAGATCATGAGTCAGGATAAGGAAAAATATGTAATTTTTTTAAGTAAAATTGATATTTTATACTTATCCTGACTCATGACGAACAAGCTCTCCCAACCTCCCCGTCGAAGTCACTTGTGATTTCACAGCAAATCCAGGTGCATGGGGAAATTATAAGGAGAGAGTGACAAGACTGGGCACGTCACATGGTACGTTTGCGCGGGAAAGAGGAAGGGAGGTAACTCGTGGGTGAGCATTGTACGTCTGCTTCGGGAACTTCAAGGGATTAAAGTGTTCCACTACCATTCGGAAGGAAAAGGGAGATTAGCAAAGATCATGAGTCAGGATAAGTATAAAATATCAATTTTACTTAAAAAATTACATTTTTCATACTGAGCAATTTTAACAAAGAAATTAGTATTTCTAATGCTACACTTTCTTGAAAACTTGGTTTGCAAATCTGCCAACTCCCAAAAAGCAAGATGTGAAACATATAAGAAAAAGTATGGGACCAGTGTATTTTTATGACTGCAGACCAAAGATGCTTGTAATCACAAGAAACATCTTGTGTTCTCCAACTTCGTCCACAGCGATAATCCTTGCACGCATCACTTGCTGTGTTTTTACGAGTTGCCTTCCCGGTTCAAGCCGCGCGAACCTAATCACTGCGCAGCACAGCTGTTGAAACCACTTTTCAGCCCAGTGCTGGGGTGAAATTAGTGAATCATTTGAACTCCGATTTCCCGGGCGGCTCTTGTCACGTTATTTTTCAACTTTATAAGTTGAATTTGCATTTGTGATAATTTGTTACTGTAAGTCCATACCGAAAGGTATCAGAATCTGCAAAGTTGTGTTTTGCGTTGCATGTGACCTTTAACTATTAATTTGGGTCCTGGGTATATCTGGATGGTTGCTTGTGACTTTAACAAATTATCTGAAGCCTGCATAGAGTAACATCCTCTTGAATCTAGTAAGCTCCGCTAGTAAGAGTCCCTATGATAACACTTGATCAGCATAGAATTGTGTAAAATATTATGGAGGTTTAAAAGTATTTGGTATATTGATTCAGGAGTACTACAGGTTTCAGTGCCAGCCTTTCAACAGATTGTTACCAGTATTTTTGCTTTTTCAGTTATGATGGAGTTCCTGTTGAATGTGTGTTTCTCTCTCTTGTTTCAGAATTGTTTGCTTGAAAGAAAATATTGCTTGCAAGTATGATTGTTATAATGACACCTTGGCCACAAGTAACAAAATTATCGGATTTATAAGAACTCTGATTGTAATCTCACAGAATGGCATCTAGTGTGTCAAACAAGTACTCCTACTCTGACACATTTGAAGGAACATCGATTCTGTCTGATACGTTTTCACCAGAGATAGTTCCTGTCATCCCATTTGATGAGGACAAAAATATCCGAACAAGCCAGTACTCCAGTGCTAGTCTGAGTAAAGGCAGCACACAGACACTCCCTACAAAGGACAAGACAATCACCACTACTCCAAGCCAGTACTCCAGCCCTGGCTATCAGACACAAACTACCAAGGAACATTCTAGTGGAAGTCTTAGCTGTGACCGCACCTCCCACACACGCACCTATACCAGTGATGTGTCAGATACTCTCACATACCAGGATGACTTCACTGACGCGGAGGGAGGAACAGATGTTGAGGATGCTTTCTCATACTCAGATACATTTGAAGACTCCATGTTTCCAACCATGAGGTCATCAGTACCAGAGGAACGAGACTCCCGCCTGGACACGGTCACATCCGAGGACACAAGCTGCCAGGAAAGGAAATACCTGGAGGAGTATGTACAACACCTGTTGTGTGTATTGTTAAACACTTCTCAAATAGATATGTATAGACATAGGGCGACTGACTCAAAGATATGTATAGACATAGGGCGACTGACTCAAAGATATGACTGACTCAAAAAGATATGTATGACAAGGGCGACTGACTGACTCCAAAGATATGTATAGACATAGGCGACTGACTCAAAGATATGTATAGACATGACTGACTCAAAGATATGCGACTGACTCAAAAGATATGTATAGACATAGGCTGACTGACTCAAAGATATGTATAGACATAGGGCGACTGACTCAAAGATATGTATATGACTCAAAGATATGTATAGACATAGGGCGGCAAAGATATGTATGACTGACTCAAAGATATGTATAGACATACTGACTCAAAGATATGTATAGACATAGGGCGACTGACTCAAAGATATGTATAGACATAGGGCGACTGACTCAAAGATATGTATAGACATAGGGCGACTGACTCAAAGATATGTATAGACTGATCAAAGATATGTATAGACATAGGGCGACTGACTCAAAGATATGTATAGACATAGGGCGACTGACTCAAAGATATGTATAGACATAGGGCGACTGACTCAAAGATATGTATAGACATAGGGCGACTGACTCAAAGATATGTATAGACATAGGGCGACTGACTCAAAGATATGTATAGACATAGGGCGACTGACTCAAAGATATGTATAGACATAGGGCGACTGACTCAAAGATATGTATAGACATAGGGCGACTGACTCAAAGATATGTATAGACATAGGGCGACTGACACAAAGATATGTATTGACATAGGGCGACTGACACAAAGCGGTCACTTTTTGTTGTGTATTAACAATCAGATGTATGTATACACATTTTCTTATCACTTGTGCAACATTATTGCCCTTTGTTGACGAGATGATAAAGATGCAGGACTACTGCAGCCGTTACTGAAGCTGCTTCCCCTGATGCTGCAGTATATGAATTGTGTACATGTTGCAGCTCCTTTGAGAGTCCGAGTCTGACAGTAACAAGTCGTGATGGCCACACACTTGACTTCACAGAGAGCCACATCTTTGGTCCAGCTACTGAGGAGATCCGGGAACTGTCTGTATGTCACCTCTTATCTGCTGAAGGTTAATTAGAAGCTTAGCTCCCATAGTTGTCACTTGTATCTCAGTTTTATGTTGGATTGTTTCAGATATGTACAGCTCACAGGATAGTGCACACGTCCACTGAATTTCCTTCTCTTCTGTTCTTCAGGCAGAAGATTTAGCTAAGGCTGAGGCTTTTGAAGCAAGTGAAAACTTCATCAGCAAATTGCTGGGCCGTCTGAGGGTGTCCAAGATGGTTTCTGCCAACAGTACAAGGCCTCAGCAGGGTGAGTGCTCATTTTGCATAAACAAGACAAAAACTGATATCAAATGGATGGATATAACAGACTGGGGTGTTTTCATGTTGGTCACTTGCTGTAGCAAAGGCATGTAGAAAGTATTGTTATAACATTGACAAGCAGGCTCACGTACTTTGTACATCAATTTCAGAGGAGGAGGGGGGGGGTCACAATTGTAAATCATCATATCACACACACACACACACACACACACCTCGGTCCCTCGGATGATCTGCCAGAACTCTGTATGGTGCGAAATTAATAATTTTTCCTTATCCTGACTCATGCTTATTGCTTGTCTTCTTCTTCTGGCGAACCTAGTGGAACACTTGTATCTCCCAATTGAAGTTCCCTTCAATAAAAAATCACTCATTAGTACTGACCACGAGTTACCTCCCTTCCACAAGCGCGGGAACGAGGGCGCCACCTGAACCCATGTGCCTCACTCTCTCCTTCTTCGCCCAGTGAGCTGGTCGTGAGAGCGCCTGTGTCTCCCAACACACTATATCCTTTTAGTTTAGTACCTCTTATACTTAGTATAGAGGTGTAACTAGTATCCTTATTCAACTTGCATTGATTATTAATGGCGTTTCTGCTGTTTATTCACGGTTCGCCGTGATTGTTCAGTAGTTTACGTTAATGAGAATCTGCACAGATTGTAAACTACATTATTCCGCTACTGATCCACATTTAAAATGCCCTAGTTGCATTACTCCATGTTCTTTTGTTTCTCGTTGTAAATTATGTATTAATTTACCAATTTCTGCCTTTGATAAATATTTATGTTCCGTTTTTAGACGGAAGGCAGATAAATCTTGCAAACAATCTTCAGTCATGGCTATTAGATCAGAAGCTAATATTCCCTGTCAATGTTGACTGACGACCCGCCACCGCTGGTGGCATGCCTGAGTTCCCTCGGAGAATAGCGTGGGACGCAGTCCGCTATGTCCAAGCAGCGACCTGCATCTCAAGACCTGCCGTCTTCTCAGTCTAAGACTAGGAAAACGTCCATATCATCACATATGTTTGAACCCTAGGTCTACAGCTTCGTCAAAGGAAATCTACAAAATCTAATAATTTTGCCTCCGATAGTTTACCTATCACAGAATTATCTTTATATGATGATGACATTCCGATTATCATTCAGATGCTCGTCATAAGAAAGCGTCTTGTTTCTGCGACTGTTACCTCAGCGCAGATTAGCACACAACGGAGATGCCGACACTATCACCAGAAATTTTATCTGAGGGTCCCGTCACCTCTGCAGAGAGACATCCCTCATCAAGCGCAGACCGCTTCAGGCGACTTGATCAACCAGATAATGAGGGTGATGGAAGACCGCTCACGACTTACAGAGGCCTCAGAGCCACGGGCCTCAGAGCCCACCCCATATCAAGTCATACAGGGCCTCAGAGCCCGCCTTGGCCAGCGTGGGGCCTCTGAGCCCATAGCGCGCCTCGCGAGAAGGCAACCCTGCCGGGGTGAGCTCTTTGCATAAGGTATCCCAGGTCGCCTCCGTGAAGGAGCTAGAGCCTCACCTTTTGCAAGAGGCTTGTGAGGCTTCGCCAGAAAGCGCACCTTGTCATGCGAAGAAGGCGTTGCGCTGGCAAGCGCTCATATGTCGATCACGGACACTGACTCAATACATTCGCGAAGGTTGCGAAGGCTAAGTGGCTCCAGTTCTTCATCGCCTAGAAGATCTACATCGCCTAGAAGAGCTTCGTGAAGCCCCCAGCGTTCGCGAAGCCCCCAACGTTCGGAAGATATAGTAGAGTTCGCGAAGTCCCCAGCGTTGCGCGGAGGGTGTCTCCTCCAAGGTCTCCTTACACTAGCCACTCGTCAGTCCGTTCATCACAGTCCTCTCATAGATCTTCCTATAGATCTAGGACTCCGACATGTGACCCTACGTCAAAAGAGGAGGAAAGTATCATTCTCCAGATTAGATACTGGATAGTGAATGAGTTACAACGTGTTTTTTTCATCGAAGAACGAGAATTCAACTCAGACTTAAGTCATGAAGAATGATGATGTAGACTATTTCACCTTACCTCCTATTGATCCGATTGCAGCGGTACCAACTAATCTGGATACAGCCTGCTCCAAATCTTCGGAAGCCCAAACGCAGATCTGCAGACAATTCTATTACGGAATTGAACAGCAACCTTGTTACAGCGAATAAAACTCATATTGTCAACGATTTCTGAGAAGAAATATGTACAACAAGTTCAGCTTTAATTCTACAATTATGACGATACATTCATGTATACAGTCTACAAGTTGACAACTTGCAAGTTTTATTAAACCTTTATATAAGGAAGTCGGAATTATCTTCAAGACTGAAGTTACTTTCCACGACAGCCAGGAAAATAACCTACCCAGCATTAATATTATAGGCGAGGTATTTCGCCGGAGGTTTCTCAGCGTTTACCATTAACCCTCGAAACACGTGGTTACTTTCGGGTAACCGGGGAAGCTACGGTGAAGACCGGCGATTGTTCTACTATCAGCGGCGGCACTATATTATACAAGGTTCCTTTTCCTGCTACACGGTGACATCACAGCGGGTACTCTACAGAATCAAAATGCCTTGTTCTGATTGGACCCTTGAGGGACAACGCCCTACACAGAGGTCGAGCATAGTTCACAGTTCAAGACTTAGGTTGCAAGTGACAACATTATCTCAGTGAGCATCGTCAAAGGACTTAAGCGAGCGAATTTTCCTCGGCGACGGTATACAAGTGGATCCAAATCCACAGCGTCTCAGACTACAGTTGAATTTCATCATCAAGACCAAGAGATTGAATGTTTGCGCAAGCGTCTCCTTAGTAGAGCGAATCGAAAACACATCTGTACGTGGGCTTCGTCACTACAAGGTTGGGGAGCCCACCTTACCGGCAGGTCAGCCTCAGGTCTATGGAGCAATCAAGAGCAAATGTCACATAATCTGCTAGAGATGCAAGCAGTTATAAGCGCCATAAGTCACTGGAGCAACCTACTACAGAGCGGCTCAGATAATGGTTCACACAATTCAACACTGGCGTTTTTTCATGTGAACAAACAAGGTTCAACTAGGTCACAGAACCTACTGACTCGATGTTTCAGACTGTTCGATCGAATCGACAATCTAAACATACCGTCAGTACTTGCCACATTCAGGAACATAGAATGTATTAGCAGGCAGCTCTCTCTGGGCTACACCTACCGTCGCCGACAGAATGGATGCTCCACACACAGGGAAATAGGATCTCCTCTGATAGACCTAGTCACCACTTTCGGTTCAACAAGCAACTGACAACATTACATTATCGCCAGTGCCAGACCCACTAGCATGGGCAATGGACACACTAAGCAAGTCTTACAGAAAATCAGTCAAATGCAGAGCCTCCATCTGATTTGGTCACGCCCTACTGGCTAGCGCGAACTTGGTTTCCAGATCTCATACAAGAAATCGGAAAACTAATTCTTCAGCTCCACAACGCTCAATCTATTGATACATCTGCACACCAAACAAGTGCGATACACCAGAAGCATTCCAACTTCATTATGGATTGTATCAAGGCATGTCTGAATAAGAGGTTATTCTGCCAGGCGGCTACAGCGGTCACGCTTTGTAACGGCGTAACTTCGACTTCGTAACTTATCACGATGACAAATGGCACAGTTTTGTCAATTCGCGGCTGCTAAGAAAGGATTTACAGCCAGATATGCTACACATCCTCAAGTGGCAGATTTCTTATGTTATCTACGTTAAACTAAGAATCTAAAGGCTCAACCTTGTCCATTTATCTGGCAGCTATAAGTTCTGTCATACTATGAGGCCCGGGCGTCAAGTTGACAAAGCGCCAGAGTTACTCGGTTTGTTACAAAGCGTTCTGATTGGAGGATTAGAAGCGGAAGTTTCACGCTCCAGCAGGATCTAATATAATGCTCCAACACCTCACTAGTGAGGTTTTGAACTCATCGCTATCTACATCGTTTGAATCACTGACCCACAAAACCTTGATACTGTTAGCACTAGCTACGGCCACCAGGATGTCATATTCACGCACTGGATTACGAGAGAACGGCTTTGATGATTTTTCATAACATAGCTCATCTGGGACTTGGCTGGGATTTTATAGGAAAACCAACTGCCAGGTCAACCAGACAGATTATTCCACGTCCCAGCTCTCTCATTCATACTTGGACCGCATGATACGATGGATCTATCACTATGCCCAGTTTGTACACTGAAAATATATCTCCAACGATCCAAATAGAGCAGGGGATATTCAAGAGATTATTTATCCCTATATCTACAGCTACGCATGACGGAAGTCTTATGTACTACTATCTCTATCTGGATCAGAACTGTCATACTACGTGCCTACAAGGCTGTAGGGGCTTAACCCTCAAGAGCTTCTAATCCTCCGCGAAATTAGAGCGCTAGCCTCAACTCTCGCTCTACATGGGAATTGTTCGTTGAATACCATAATGGAGGGATGTTTCTGGAGATCCGATATGGTGTTTGCCAACCACTATCTGAGAGATATCACCACCAAGGAAGTCTCAGGTATCCACCGTTTCGGTCCCATGGTCCTCGCTCAACAGTTGACAGTTCCACGGAGAAGATAAGTCTATCTTACAGATTTTATACTTATCGGATGACAGTACTAATAGATACATGCTATCTATATATTTTGCTTAAGTTTAATTTATTGTCTTAAGCTCAGTACTATGGTGTTTATATCATACTATATATAAGCTAACAACTCTACGGAGTTTGTTATTATATATTTAGCTTAAGTTAATCATATCTTAAGCTCAATTCTATGGTTACATTATAATGTATTAGCTAACAAACTCTACAGAGTTTTTGCTATTATATATGTAGCTTAAGTTTATTCATATGTTGAGCCTTTTAGATTCTTACTACGTTTATATCATATAAGTATATTTATATCATATAAGTTTCATATATTAAGCATTAACAAACTCTCAACGGAGTT